GCCATCCATTAGGAGGTGAAGACCAGATGGGAGCTGCTGGATTGACCTTGATATACCATGTCCTTGAGTGGATGAAGGACCTACATCTCAGGGATGGCCAGCAGCAGATGTCACACATGTGTCAGGAATAGGCTAAACAACCTATACTGATGGTAAGTACATTCATGGCCACATGTAAACATCACAGGAAATGGTGGGGATTGAACCAGGGTCCTTCAGCACAAGCCCCTCTCACTCAGTGTCAACCAATCCAGCTCCAGCCATTAGACTGCGCCCCCTTCCAGAGCTGCTGAACCCAGGAGCCCTGATTCTCAGACCCGGGCCTCACATCACAAGGCCAAACCTCCTCCCATTATGGGCACTGTAGAAGGGACCACTGGCAAAAAAACCCCTCTTCATTCCCCCTATCAGAGACTGCAGCCATGGGTGACAAGTGAATGAGCTGAGATCTCCCCTGTGGGAATCCGAGGGGTTGCGCATTTGGGTTTCACAGGGAAGGCCTCTGGCAGCCGTTGACAGAGTGTTCCTGTGGGGAGATTTTTCCGTCTCTAACAAAGGGTTTCTGTTCCCCCAGATCTCAGCCGCTCAGCAGAATGCGGGAGATCCGAGTGCTGATGGGCTAGAGGGATCACAGGAGTCGCTGTGCAGCCGGTGCAGTGTCTGCAGTCACCATGGGCCAAACCCTGCGCTCCAGACAACCCAGGCTGTTTCCCTGGATTGCAAAGGGCACTTTGCCTTGGGGAATCGGTGGCTGGTGCCTGTGTCCACAACTGGGATGTTTTCATGAGGCTACTCAATGGTCCATGAAGCGCCATGCGAGCAAGGGGAGAATGGACATTAGAGAGCGAGGCTGGGACCTCTGTGGAGCTGCTGCAGTCGAGCATCCACGGCCAGAAGAGAGACGACGGGAAAGGCGCTGAGATGCTGCCACAGCCGCAGCAGCTGTCTCATCAAGCTCTGCTCACGCGCTAGCCAAGAGAGGCAGGACAAAGAGCCACCAAGTGACAGCCTGGGTTGCAATTAGCAATACGGGGTTTTTTCAGTGGATTATGCTGTCCTGACTGTCTATTTCCTGTAATGTGCACATCCAGCCTCCCTGGCTGACCTCAATGGAAGTTAGGTTCTCCGTGCCCACAGGACAGGGCTGGCCTTACCATGAGGTGAACTGAGGTGGCCGCCTCAGGTGACAGACTGTGGGGGGGCACCAATAGGACCCAGAGTGTAGGAAAAGGTGTCTGCTGCTGGTGCATATGTATTCTCCCTGCTCCAGATGCACAGAGATGGTGGCGTGCTGGGCTGGAGGAAGGGGCCATCCCTCCCATCTCTCCCCAGGGAGCAGAGCCTCCTCCGCCTGCAAATCCTGCAGCCCGCCCACTCTCCGAGCATGCCATGCAAGCCGGCCCCGGCTGCACCGCACTGACAGCACAGCTCAGCCCCAGCAGGGGGCTACAAGGGAAAGGAGCCATTACTGTGTCAATGTACCTGTCTGTATCGAGTCACACGCAAAGGCCTTTGCTGGCTTTCTAAAGGGCAGGAGAGCAATTCACTGGGAGCGTGGTTCTTATCATACACATCCTCCCTTCCTACAGTCTGCGATCTGCAGCCAGCATCTTGATTGGCAGCGGCGCCCCCAAATCTTGGCGCCCTAGGTTGCACAGTGCAAGCAGTCAGGAGAAAAGGTGAGCGGAGAATAACGGAAAGTAACAGGAGTTGCAGGGAGAGAAAGGAGGAGGAGCCTCTTATGCACCTCTCTAGCACCTGCAGGAGCCTGGACTGATTAACATCAGCTTGTCAGGGAGCTTCCTGTTTCCTGCTGCTTTCCTGAACCTACTTGAGGAGAACAGGTGGTCAACTGAAATAGTAGGAGCCAGTTAGGCCCTTAAGAGGCTGATTTCTTCCCTCACTCAGGCCCTGCTACCAGCCTGCTTATTTGTCCCCTTCAATTGAGTGTTGAGAGCCACTATAGCTGGCACAGAACAGCAGTCATGAGTGAAAGAAGAAAACGCCCCCCTGGGGCAGCATTCAGAAAAAGAAAGAAAGCAAAGGAAGCTTTTCTATCTAAGCAGGAAGGAGTTCTCCTGAGATACACAGACACAAATGTTCACGGTGAGCCTTCTGGCCCCAGTGAGGTGTGAGTGGTGAGGAGATGCCTGATCTTCCAGTTAGTCAGAGTGCAGGTGACCTGGCAGCTACTGCAGCATCCATATCTCCATCTCAAATGGATGTAACCATGCACATTCGTGAAGAAAAGTGTAGATCAGAGAAGAGTGTGGTGGAGGCGCAAGAAACAGCTGCTGCTGAGTTTAGTTCCTTAAGTCTAGGTGATACAGGACTGTGGACCCACTTGAGCAGTAGCCTGAGGGACTTCCTTCTACTGCATGCGCCAAACCAAGTAAAAAACTTCATGTCCTCCAAAGAGAATGAAAATAGAAGTTTCCATCCAACACATTCCTGATGTGAAATCCCCAATGGTGACAAAGTGGAGAGGCCATGGCGTATGCACTCAAAAATCCAGAATGTTGCATACTGTTTTTGTTGCAAACTCTTCCAGGCTAATGTTCCAGCCACATTGGGTTCTACAGGAACAAAGGACTTGAAAGATCTGGCTAGAAATCTGGCATGCCATGAGACGACAGCAATTCACCAGAGAGTATTCCATAGGTGGAAACAACTTGAGATGAGACTAAGTTTAAAGGCCACCATAGATGATCAGCATCAAGAGAAGATTGCATCCAAGTATATTTACTGGCAAAATGTTCTGAAAAGGCTCATTGCCTTTGTGAGAATGCTTGCTACCCAAATCCTAGCACTGCGTGGCACTTCAGAACAGCTGCATGTGCCAAACAACAGAAATTCCTTAAAATTGTGGAGCTGATGGCTGAGTTTGATGCCATAGTTGCCATTATCGAGGATAATGCTATGACAGGAACTGTTCGTGGGAGAACAGTGGCAGAGGGAAATGGAATCACCAGAAAAATACATAATTTCAAATTTCTGTGTGGCTTAGTGTGGTGGCATGACATACTGTTTGAAATAAATGTTGTAAGGAAGAGACTTTAAGGTGTTGACCTTGATATATCTGGAGCAATGGAACAACTGGACAAAGCAAAGTCATACCTACAGTCTTACCGGTCAGATGAGGGATTTCAAAACGTTCTGAAGAGTGCACAGAAATTGGCAGAGGAACTTCACACCAAAGCTAGTTTACCACCCATCAAAAAATAGAAGAGTCACCAAAGAAGAAGACATTTTGATTACGAGGCACGGGATAATCCCATAAGAGACCCCAAACTGAAAGCCCTTTCAAGTTACATTTCAGCAGGATCTACCCCAAAGGCTGTTCTGGAATATATGTGCACAAATAAGATGACCAGCCTCTTTCCAAATGCTTTTGTTGGTCTGCGCATACTTCGAACACTTCCTGTAACAGTGGCCAGTGGAGAATGCAGGACCAGCCCTGCCGTGGGATCAGTGCTCAGTGTGCTCACGCAGCAACCTAGCATGCAAAAGTGGAATATGATAGATGCAACGGTCCAAATAGTTAAAAACCCGTCCTCCCTCTTTTCTCTGCGGTTTTCACGTTTGCAATTAAAGGAAGCCAGATATCTAGCTACTGGAGAGCCCCCTTGTTCCAGTCAGTCTGAAGATCAGAGCTAGCATGCGCCCAAATCATTATAGGGAAAAGATGGATTTTTAACTCAAAAGCCATACCCAGTTCAGCCACGTTTTCACAACTTCCCAGATGAGGCAGTGTAAGAAATGGCCGTGCTTTTGCCTGGATTTAACTCACTGTGCAATGACACATCACATTACCCAGTGTTGGATAACTAAGGGCCTATTGGACTGCAGAATGACCAGCAAATTAAACCGGAGGTGATCTTGTAATAATAAAGTGTTTATATTAACTAATAAGCCAATCTCTGCCCATGTCCAGGTATGCTTTGTGTTTAAACATTAGGTAAAAGCCAGTGCATTCAGGCCACCCTGGGAGTTGCTGTTTGAAGCAGCTAATCTGGGCTTTTCAAAGGAATTTTGGAAAGTTCGATGTACTGATCCATTGCCTTCACATACTCCTCTGTAGCATGACAATTGCCCACTTCACAACCTTGCATGTATTTAGCCTCACTACACCCCTGTGAGGTCGGGAATTATGACTGTCCCCATTCCCCTAATGGGGGACTGAGGCCCAATGGGATAAAGCAAGTTGTGAAGATAACTCAGGAAGTCTTTGACAAAACAAGTACTTGAATTTGGGTCTACCAAATCTAGGATTAGCCCCTCAGCCATGGGAACATCCTTATGCCTGACTCCCTTACCCTCCTCTGTATATCCCCGTCCTAGTTTAGGTTTCTTCCACTGCAGTTTCCTGTGCCTCCCATACATTATTCATTGTCTTTAGACTTTGAAGACCTAAAAGACATCTGTGCCAGCTTTAGATGAGTAGAAACACAGATCTACAGATGAGTAGAAACACAATCCACAACAAAACAGCAAAAGCAAGTGCAGTGGCCAACTCAGCCAATAGAAAACACATCTGGACACAAACGTACCCTCACCTGGTCTCCTGCAAAGCATGTACATCTCTTGTAATCAGGACTGGTGGAGCTAGATCATGAGATGGTAAAAACTGGACTAGCTTGAGGATCTGTAAATCAAGCACTTTAATAC